TTTTCCCCTTGCACTACATTTTGCCATAATGACAGAACAAGGAACAAGAACAAATTACAGAAGAAGGAACAATGGTTTCAAGTTGCAGCAAGGGAAGTTTAGCTTGGTTACCAGGAAAAACATTCTCACTAGGAGGATAGTAAAGCACTGGAACAGGTACCCAGAGAGGTGGTGGATTCTCCACGCTTGGAGATTTTTAAAGCCTGGCTCGACAAAACCCTAGCTGGAATGATCTAGGTGGGGATGGTCCTTCTTTGAGCAGGGGGTTGAACAGGATGATCTCCTGAGGACTCTTCCAGCCTTATTTTTCTATGATTCTATAGTGTATATCAGGGCCTAGACCCAACATACATTCACACAGATTGGAGAAAAGCAATTTTCATGTGCAGATATGGTAGGTATACTCCTCAAAGCAGATGTGGTGATATTTGAGGGCCTGGCTGTAATTTACAGCTTCTTGATGTGTTTGACATGGTTTCCGGTTTTGTGGAGGTGCGTATGCCTGCTACCTGCCTACAACATGGCAGAAGGAATGTGCCTGAGAGGCTGTACTGAGTGAAAGCCAAATGGCAGTGTCTTGGGGATGCCATGCTCATCCCTGCAATGTGCCACAGCCTCAGATTTAGCGCCCACCAAGACCTCTGAGATTTAGGTCACATTCAAACTCACCAGCAGAAAAGCTGTGGGTGGACACTCTTTTAAGACTTGGTATCATGTTTTCGGTCTGCAAGTGAGTGTTGCTTCCATCTAGAAATCCCCATAGAGAGTGAATAAGATATCTGCTACTATTGCCAGCCAGTCATAGCTCCCATGGTACCCATCTGCATTTCAGCAACAGCTGGAGCAGGGCTCTAGTCCTAAGAATATCCTGGGCTTCTTCCAGTAACTGCCTCTGTTTTGCATCACTGGAGGGTTATTACTAAGCTTCTCTGCCCATCCTTAATAATGCTTCTAATCCAGGGGCAAGTGGGTATTTAAACTCCTTCTCCAGAAGGCAGGGTTTGCAAGAATGGGCCAATGCACTCCAAGCATTCAACTCCTCCCAGGGTTCTTTTCTCTGCTGCCTTGTTGCTATCGTCCTGTACCACCCCAGTGGACTGTGAGTCGTGTCCCCCAGACTGCCCCTAGCTCTTTTGGGTGCATTGGTCTTGGACCTGCATGGACACATTACAGCAGGTCTCTCTGCCTGTGCATGGCTGGGTGGGTGACCAGGAGCCCTGTGAAAAGTAGCAGTGCAACAGGTGTGTTCCCCTTGGAGGTATCAGGGAATCACAAGGATGCTGAGACCCAAAACACAAGGAGGTGTAATTAGTATAGTGGGAAGCCGTGTTGGAGGAAGAGCACTGGGTGGTATCAAACAGTTAATCTCTCTCTGCATGGCCAAAGCATTTGGCAAGCAGCCTCTTCTCTCCTCCAACTTTGACCTTGGTGAGAGCGCACATGCTACTCTTGGCTAACTCCACTGGTCTTGTTTTGGTAAAAGCCATTCCTCAGATAGGGCTCTGAGCCCGCCCTTGCCCTTACTGCAAACCAAGGCAAGGTTATCGCCTCCCCTGAAAAAGCTGCTGTGCATGCACAGGTTGGAGGTTGGGGAGAGAATTTGGACTGTTTTCTCACCCATGTCTTCTTAAAGGAGCACCAGGGGCCAGATGCTGTTCCCACTGAGCAGCTCCCACTGCTGGTGTTACTCTGGAATTACGCTAGCAAGAGGCATCCTTTCAGCTCCAGTCCCTCAGGTGCCCCAGAGTTTAATATATCAAATCTCTGTACCCTCATTTAGCCATGCTGGGCATGTCTACACATGCATTAATGCCAGCTTAAATTTACTGCACAGTAAATTACTGCACAGTAAACAGGAATAGGCCAGCATCTACACATGGAGGCATTAAGGCACATTAATTCTGTTTGTGGACTGACTTGGGATTAAAGTTAGTCCCAAGTCAGTCCACACACACAGTGTTACTGTGCAGTGAGACATCTACATGTGCGTTACTGCTCAGTAAGTCATTGGGCATAAATTTGATACCTGCATGACTCAGGTATCAAATTTATGCTCAAGTCGCCATATTTACTGCACAGTATGGGCATACACGTGTAGATGCACACCCACAGTGCGCAGTAATTTTGGTTACTGTGCAGTAAATGTACACGTGTAGATGGACCCACCGTTGCTCTTCCGTGGTTCCTTCATGCTCTTTGCTATGTGTTCATTGGCTCAGGAAAAGATTTCTGGCTTTCCAGGTGGGGCAGCAGATAGGAGTCAGTGTGATCTAGGGATCAGAGCATTGGACTGAGAGTGGCGCCGCACCTCAGTTTTACTGCTGACTTTGACCAGGCCGTGGCCAATCACTTTGTGCCTGAGTTTCCCCACCTCTGAAATAGGGGTTGTAATGTTTAGCTGCAAATCACAGAGCACGTACAAATTGCGAGAATTATTCATAAGCCTTTGTGGGGAGACGGAACCTGTTTTTGATCATCTCATCTGACCTCCAACAACCCACAGAACAAAGAACTCACCCGGTAATTCTTGCACTGAGCCTAGTAGTGAGAATTGGCTGAGAAACAGGACTTCTGCTTTGTGTTACCAATTGAGGTTGTAGTGTCTGGTTTTTTTATAGTTTCATTCCAAAGCGAAAAAACCTTTTCATTTTATTGCACACAGGTGAGGGAGGAAGGTGAAGTGGGGTCTGTGTGCCCTCGTTTAGCCAAAAGCTCAGTGATGTTAGCAGCCTTGCTGCTTTTGGACAACCTTGCTTTGCCTAATTTGACTTGAACTTATCTCCAACACCCACCAGAGCTCCTTTACTACCAGGCTTTGGCTAGTCCATTATTTTGAGTATTCCTGCTATTCCTTCCTGGACCTGAGAAGCCTTTCCCTTGTGTTGAAACTGATAAACTTTCTGTAAAGACCTTTTTGCTTTCAACAAATTGGCGTTTTTTACAGTGAAAAAACATTTCAATGACCCCTACCCCAACAGCCAACTCTGCCAATAACCTGTGTCTGAGATAGCGCATGTCTTTCTGAATGAACCAGTGATGACCTCAAGTGATGAAAAATCAATAGCTTCTGTAGGCCAGTTGTGCCAGTGATCAATGACCCCAGGGTTCAAATTTTGTACCTTCTTTCTAGCCTGAATCTCTATAGCTTTGGCTTTCAACCACTGGATCTCATTATAATAAAGAGCCCTCTGCTCCCAGAAACCCTCTTCCCATGGAGGTATCATGACAGGCTCACTTAACAGAGCTAGAAGGGCCGTAAGTACAGCCTGCTTTGGTGTGAGGCCTCTCATTGCAGTGTGAAGGCAAACCATTTGTGGGCCACATTGGACCACTCGTCAGAGCAGCCCCTGTGGGGCTGGGGAAAAGGAATCGATGGGGAAGAGCCTGTTCTGTGATGTGTTCAGAGCACAAAGCACTACAGAGGGACTATCTGCTAATTTATTAAGTGCTGTATGGCCGTATCGACATGATTGGTGGAGGGATGCAGTGGTTGGTACCCTTGACGCTCATTCCCAAAGGCAGTCAGGAGAAGGAAGGGCAAGGCCAGAGATGAAGCCAGGAGAGGAATATGTTGTGGGCTGCCCACTAGATCTGAGATGGCCCTTCCTAAGCCAATGTCTTGTTGAGAGCCTTTGAGGGATGGAGCTGGGTGTGAGGATGCCATCCCTGCCATGGCACAAGCTTGAAAAATCAGAGCCCAAGCATTGCCATGTTCTCAGGGCTGGTCCTGTTGCTCACATGATGACGGGTTAAGAGCTTCAAGGAAAGGTGCATGAAGGGTCACTGGCAGATGCACAGAGCATGAGGAATTAGGATATAGGAGTGGAACATGGGTCCTGGAACAGCTGATCCAGGACCCTCTTGCCAAGCTAGTAAACACAGCTATGGTGTTTGTCCTGACTGCAATTTTGATATGGAGTGCATTACACTAGTGAGGGGCTCACTGGGACCTGCTCATGCCAGGTGGGGATAGGGGGAGGATGGTGGGGGGCAGAAAGTGATGACTGACCCCAGAGGAAGGGTGTGAAATGAGATGGGGCTGTTTGGCTGTGGGCTTTGCTGCCAGGATGCTTCTGGGCAACTCTGCCAAGCAAGGCTGGGAGTAACCGACTCTTGTCCTAACATGATGTGAAGGGGGAGGGTGCCGTTTGTGGTGTCCTTGGTGGCATAAGGCATAAAGATTATGACCAGGGGGTGAGGTTCATTGCTTGTGCTGAGACAGAGGCCTGTGGTTAGGCATTGTCAGTCCAGCCCTCTTCAACAGCTCGGGGCTTGCACCAAAGATGTAAAGCAACAGAACTAAACCTGAGCAGGCGGCACAACTGAGCTAAACCCAGGAGTGAGCAGGAGCAGCTGTCCCCTAGACTTCCACATGTCACCTGGAAGGAAGCCCAGAGGCTGAGGTCTCTTGGGGACAGTGTCCCTGAGATCTCCAGCTCAAGCAGAGGTAGGAAGTGTACAGCAGCTGGAGATCTCTCTGACCCAAGAGTGGCAGATACAATGGGGAGAAGAGTGCAGTGATGACATGCCTATAAGTCAAGAGGTTTGGCTCTTGTCCCTGTGGGTTGATTTCTTGATTCTTCCCCTTCTGAAACATAGGAACAGTCATCATGACCCAGCCACAGGGCTTGGAGATCTCTGGATGGAAGCATCGTATGTTAATATACTACCATGCAGGCCATGTCTCCCAGGTACTGTGGCTGTTGGTGCCCTATGGATGTTGGATGGATGGCTGGGACATGGTGATGCTTACCAGAGTCTTCAAGGTGTCATCGCAGTCCATGTGCCCACCTATGACCTTGCCCAGTGAGTGCCCACCCGTGACCTTGCCCAGTGAGTCCCTTTTGAGCAGGTGGCATGAGTTTTAGCCCAGAAGTCTTGGTGCCTAGGATGGATGGTCAGAGGATGGAGAAGGCCTCTTGCTAAGCATGTGCGTTTAAGTTGGGGATTGGCCAGTGAACCTCCATGACCTGTATCAGATGCTATCTTGTCCCTGGCAGGAGCCAGACACCTACCGCTTGGCCCTGATGAGGATGGCGGACGACATCCTGTCCCTGCGTAGGCATGTTGTCAACCTGGAAACCGAGAACAGCAACCTGCGCCGCAACCTCAACATGCACAAGGACCTAGGCCGCACCCTGCTGGATGATGTCGACATCGATGTCATGACCAAGGCAGAGATCGTGGACAGGATTGGTGAGGCCCCACAGCTGCCCCCTCCACCTCTGGGTGTTGCAGAGCGGGGAGGGAGCTGCCAGGAGGAAGGAGTGGGCAGTGCGTGTCTGCCTACAGACAGAAAGCAAAGGGTGGGGAGCCTTGGATAGAGCCAGACATAGTGGGGAAATGCCCCACCTCACCCTGCAGAGCCCACCAAGTATGATCAGTCCATGTATCCTCCTGTTCCAGCCCTGCCCCTCTCCCCGCAGCCCTGCCAATGCCCATCATGCCCAGCCTGCCCTATGCCCTGCTATTTCTCTGCCATCCCTTGGCAAGCAGCTTCACCCCCCACCTCTTTGTGGACTGTTTGCTGCCTCAGGTATGTATATGCATTGCTTGGCACTGACTGAATTATGTGGTCTCTTGCAGTGGGTCTCAAGCAGAAGCTGGCTGCTGAGACGATGGAAATAAGGAAGTTGAAGGACCGAGTCCAGCAGCTGCAGAATGAACTGATCCGGGTAAGGGCACTGTGGGCTTGGCTCTGCCCTGTAGGGAA